TACACTCGGCCACCGGTCGACAGTATGGGTGCGACGGCTGCCGGAAGTCATATCACACCAAACATATGCTCGACAGACATCGGCTGACTGTCCACTCGACCACGTTTTGCGGCCAATCGTATGAATCTTAGTCTGTATTCAAATACAATGAATAAAACACTTTATGCCGTATTAGCTGTCGGTTTGACCAATAAATTGTAAATGATTTTTGGTTTATAAAATGTACATAAGATGTAACGTATTTTGTCAATACAAATGTTCATTAATACAGTAAAAGTTTAATGAGCATTTCTAATAAAAATTACTTGAAATACGGCCTAATATTAGAACCGGTGTTTGGAAATTGATGGCCTGTTAGGTCAGCGGCACCGGTAGTCGAGTGGTGGCCATAAGCGCCAGCGCTCTGTAGGCCAGAAGGACCGGCAGTAAAGCCGGTGCCGCTGTTATACTCAGCCATTTGATGGCCAAACGCAGTGTATTGTTGGCTAAACTGTTGAGCAAAACCATACGGTGTGTGATGTGATGGTGACTGAAGGCTAGGCCAAGGGGTGGTCGGGTGCGGCGCCGCACCGGCAATGGATGACTGAATAGTGTTCGCATTATTACTAGTGATTTGGGTATAAAAAGGTGGTCCGGGGGTCGGCTGCGGCGGCTGTGCATCACTCGCTACGGGAATGCAATCAGTATTTGGGGCACCGCTGGTGTCCGGCGGCGGACAGTCGGTGGGCCCGCCGTTGATGTGAAAGCGCTGTCTATGTGTCTCCACTCCGGTGTCGGTGCGAAACCTTTTGCCGCACAAATCGCACGCTTTGTGCCGCAGATCCCGGTGTCTGACCGCAGCGTTGGTGCGGTCGAGGAGTGCGCGGTTCCTACGCCTACGGGCGCTCTTCGACAGCACAGTTGGGTCGGCACAACCGGTGGATGAGTAGTGACGGTCGGGGCTGTTATGAGCAGCAATTTCGTGGTCATGTGGTAGAGCTCCGGGTGCTGGTGTTTGAATAGTGTTTGGGTTATTACTATTGTTTTGGGTATAAAAGTATGAATTAATTACTGTTTTAAATGAGTATTTCTAATGAAAATTACTTAAAACACTACATAATAACAGAGTCGATGTCCGGCAATGGCTGACCAGTGACTACTGGCGCCGAGTTTATACCGTCCGGTGCTTTACCGGCGCTGTACTCATGGGTTAGTATCACGTCCTCGACATCGGAGCCCAAATCACTAGACATTCATTGAAATAACACATAAAATACATCAATAATTAATATCTTAAACATCAAAACAAAGACATACTGTTTGTTGTCAACCGATCGGGTGTCAGGACTGATAGCACCGGTCATAGGGCTGGACGTTGACTGCTGTCCACTGGCAATGACATCATCTGATCCGCTGGCAATAGGTTCCCGAGTGATAACCTCTTTGTGCTCATCGATGGCATGTCTGCGGCCTTTGTGTGCATTCAATCGGCTTTGAGTTGAGAAACTTTTGTCACATTTTTCGTAATCGCATTTAAACGGCTTTCGGTGGACGACAAACGACTCGACAATTGACTCATAAGTCAATGAATGACTGAAAAGACACAACAGTTGTGACAATTGAACGCATGGTTTGTCACAATCCATACAAACCTATCACTCGATGA